GCAGGCAAGCCTATCAAGAAGCACCGTAAACCGAACTTTCGCTGTCTTGTCCCAATGACACTGAGCTTCCGTGGAATAGGATCTCGGCCGCCATGCAAGACGCAGGAGCATCTGTTTGTGGCACCATCAGTCGTCACGGCACCAGTCACTGGATATTCTAGAGGTCCGCGAACCTTTTGGAAACTAGACGGCACCTCCCGGCTGGTTCTGAACGCAATGTGACGAGACGGGCTATTAGGCGTGAACTAAAGCGGAGCCTAAGTGCTGACAAGGAAGCCTGGTGGACCAGTCGGGCTCAAGAAATGGAGGAGGCAGGAGCAGTAGGCAATTACCGGATGCTCTTCCAGCTAATACGCACCACTGGTCCGAGAAAACCAGGCGTCAGTGAGACAATCAGGGACAGCGCAGGTGCGCTGATACACAATAAGGAGCGCCGTATGGCTCGCTGGGCTGAACACTTTGAACAGCAGTTCATCTGGCCCCCTGCTCCCGGACCTCTTTCTACTCAGGTGATGCAGGACGTGCCATGGACGGTTAATTTAGAGCCTCCGTCGGAGGCCGAGGTCCGAAACGCGATTACAGCCCTTAATCGTTTTCGTGCAGCTGGCCCGGATTCCCTACCACCTGCACTATTTAAGGATGGAGGTGAGGTCCTCTGCAAAGCACTGACCTCCGTATTCGAACCTATCTGGAACGAAGAGTGTGCCGGCTAATTGGAGCGAATCGATTATAGTGGCAATATACAAGAAGGGCAGTCGCACAGACTGTGCGAACCACAGGGGTATTAGCCTAACGCCAGTTGTGAAAAAATTACTGGCCTCGATTATCGTTCGTCGCCTCACTGCAGAACGGGAATCTCGGATTAGAGAAGAGCAGGCCGGTTTTCGCCCAGGACGTGGCTGGATAGACCATATATTTACTTTGCGGCAGGTGCTAGAGCAGCGCCACGCATACCGCAGACCGACAATAGCTGTGTTCCTCGATTTCAAGAGTGCGTTCGATTCAGTCGATCGATCGATTCTGTTCGAAATACTTGCGCGAAGGTGTTCCCACGAAATATGTGAACATCCTTCGTGCTCTATACTCGAACACTAGAGGCCGCGTCAGGGTCTATGGTGCCCTATCGGATAGCTTTTCGACCACAAGTGGCGTTCGTCAGGGTTGTCTGATTTCCCCGTTTTTGTTCACTTCCGTCGTGGATTCCATCATGGAGTGTTCCCTTGCGGAATCTCACGATGTAGGTGTTGAAGTGCTGCCTGGTGAACGGTTAGTTGATCTAGATTATGCGGACGATGTCGTCTTGCTTTTCGACAATGTTGAGGCGGCACAATCGACCCTGAATAACCTGTCCAGAGTGGTGCCATTATTTGGTATGCACTTCGCACCTTCAAAGTGCAAAGTGTTGCTGCAGGACCACCAGCCACTTGATGACCCCTTGACGCTTGCTAACGAGGAACTCGAGGTGGTTGATCAATTCACTTATGTTGGCAGCTGCATCAACAATGATGGGCGCATAGAAACTGACGTCAGCTTATGCATTGCTAAGGCCAGAGCTGCCTTCTTGAATCTGCGTCATCTTTGGCGACAGAAGGGAGTTTCCCTCCTTCTGAAAGGCCGTGTATACAAGGCCACAGTGAGGGCCGTTCTGCTTTATGGTAGTGAGACTTGGCCCCTTCGGTCTGAAGATCTGAGGCGCCTTCAAGTCTTTGATCATCGTTGTTTGCGAAGCATTGCTGGTGTCGGATGGCACCGGCGTGTCCTCAACGATGATGTGCGTAGGCGAGTACTAGGTGGTGATAATCATGCTAGCTCCCTAGAACAACAGATCGCACTGAATAAGTTGCGTTGGCTCGGGCACGTGCTACGTATGCCTGGTCACCGCTTACCTAGGAGGACCTTGTTCAGTCTACCAGGTGTAGGATGGCGCACGGCTCGAGGTGGACAGAAGTTGACTTGGCAGCGGGAAATGAAGTCACTGACGACCAAACTGGGTGCCGTTGGTCCGTCTCGCCTTCCGGGTTGGAGTCCACGTGACTCGCCTTGTGCTTGGCTCGAGACTTTACAGGACATGGCTCGCAACCGACACCAGTGGCGCATCTGCTGCCGTCTCCTAATCGGATTGTCTGTTTAAAGTGTGTTTGGTGCTGAGTTATCTGCGGGGTAATGGCTGATTATGACGCGTGGCAGTGAAAGCCGCAAGGAAGCTGTCTCGCCGATGCCGCCTTATCTTTGCACGATAGCCAGCTGTTTGTGACGGAATGTTGTCTACACAAGGTGTAGGCGCCTTGACCCTGAATGTTTGTTTAGGGCATTAAAGTTTTCAGGTAAGTCCCCCTTCTCTCTCTCTTTTTATTTATTTCATAGGTTCTCATGGTTGTATGACAGCGAAGCATCAGTTCAAATGGCTGATGTACTGCTGTTGATGATGATGATGATGTGGTTTGCACGCGTTCTTTGGAATAAAAGACATACCAACGCGAGGGTGAGAGTAGACCGAGAACAAATACCTCGGTTGCCCTATGTAACTTAGGGTGCATAGGTTGTTTGTTTTTAGGTTTTTTTTGTTTATCCCAGCAGTCTAACAACTAGACACAGAGCCAATATAAAACCATCGAGATCAGCAGATAAGCGACCGTCATCGCGTCATAATCATCGTGGAATGGCAGTTGAAGGTGAGCAACACACTTCAGCTAATATGCCGCAGGAAGAACGGAACATTTTGACAAAAAGTAAGACAAAACATTCTTAGTTCGTCTTTCACACGCCGATTTTTTCCCTTTTTTGTCATTTTCAATGTTTGTAGTATTAAATATGTCCATCGACATCGTGCGCATGGGACTGTATCACATGCGGTCGCGGGTGCTTGAGTCAGGCAGGCCTAGTGAGCCATGAGCGAGGCCGCTCGGGACCACTACCGAAGCGACGACGGCTCTCGCGGAGAACGTAAGCAGAACCGGCGCAGCGTTTGTAGGTATTGCTGCGTTCGATTTACTAACCGCGTACTCGCATCATGTCCTGGTAACGTAACCTTGGTTTCCCCACATGCCGCTTCCCAACACTCAGCTGACCATATAAGAGTTGTTTCGGTATCCGCGTCGAATCCACACGTCTCACATGACCGAGCCACCTCAGTTGTTTCAGCAAAAGTATGCAGGCCACTGAATACACTCCACTTTGTCGCAACACTTCCATGTCCGCAACTCTGTCGCCCCAGCCGATGCGCAAAATCCGTCGCAAACACTGCTGATGGAACCGCTCGAGATATCGCACAACCCGCCAGTACATCGTCCACGTTTCTCGTCCACGTTTTTAGAAGAACAGACAGCACCATGTATTTGTACACCATCAGCTTCGTGCCAATGGTAAGCTGATGGTTGTTCCACACTCGGTACTCAAGCTTCTCGAATGCCACCGCTGCCTTCGACACGCGGGTACGAAGCTCACTGTGTAGCTGCTGATTAGTCGACATCACACTCCCAAGGTAGCTGAAGCGGGAGGTGGCTTTCAATACTTCAGCACCAATGCTGATTCGCGGCAATATTGCAGATTGCACCTCCGGTGAAGGCTGAAAGAGACAGACAGTTTTGCTTGTGTTGATGGTGAGCCCGAAATTGGCCGCTGTCGAAGCCAGAGCACTAGTCATGTGCTGAAACTCATCCGTGCTGTGTGCAAACAGCGCACAGTCGTCAGCAAACAGCAACATACGGATAGTTGTCTCACAGATTAGAGTTCTCGCACCGAAACGACGGATGTTCAGCAACCCACCATCAATACGGTGCTCCACACGAACACCGTAAGCACAACCGGCATCAAAAGCACAGGACAACATTGCATGAAGATATATATTAAACAGGGCAGGAGCTAAGACACAGCCTTGCTTCACACCAGTGACAACTGCAGTCATCCGAGATCTCTCCACTCAGCTGCACCATTGCTCGTATACCACTGTGCAGACATTTTATTAAACTTACAAATCAATCAATGCAATCAAACTTAACCAACATCAGCCACAGTGCCTCGCGGTTCACCGTGTCAAATTCCTGGGTAAAATAAAAAAGCGAGTACAATGTCTGATGTCGTTCTCTGCACTTCTCTTGCAACTGACGAGCCGCAAACACCATATCTATAGTGCTGCGACCCGAACGGAATCCACATTGCTCTTCCGGTTCCACAACCTGACTAACGAGGCGGTTGCGCAGGATTCGGGCAATCACCTTACCCACACAACTCAGCAAGTTGATGCCACGATAATTCGTGCAACATTGCTTGCTCCCTTTACCCTTGTACAGTGGTCATCATCATAATCATCATTATACATGTCGGCTAGAGGTGGTGAGACACCTCCGCTATTGTACCGCAATACATGAAGGAAATACATACATACAATACATAAAGGAAAAATAAATACGACAGTTGCATGCCAGCTGAGCTACCAGCAACGGATAGGCATCGTTCCGGTAAGCTACCAGCCAGTTACTAGGCAAAAAGAAAAAATTTTATGTTTTACCCTACGTAATAAGATCGTAGATGGAGGGGTGAGGCTAAAAGGGATGGGGAGGGACAAAGAAACTCACAGCAGGAACGCCACTGAGGTCGGCTCCTAGCCATGTCAACAAGTGTATCCAGCCAAACTTGTTCACCGTCTTTTGGACCCCAACCAGGGAGCCGTGAAGCTCCAACCGAGGCCAGATCCGAAGTGAGGGACTTCATTCCCCTGGACCAAGTCATCGCTTGGCCACCTCTCCTCTTCTTCCACCCACATCCCCGGTGAGCAAACAACGTACGTCGCGGGAGTCGGTGGGCTGGCATGCGCAACACGTGGCCCAGCCATCGGAGCCTGGTGCGAGAAATAACGGTGCTGAGCGGTTCATTCCCTTTTTCTGGACCGTAAACGAGGCGTCGAACACGCTCGTTACTCACGCGGTGTTCCCACCAGATGTGAGCTAAACTGCGAAGGCACCGATGGTCGAACGTAACTAGCCTTTTTATGTTCGCCGATCTTAGGGGTCACAAATTGTTTCACTAACACCAGGTCTCCTGCTGCCCGTTTCCCGTATCAGACGGAATAACTTACGATGGTTACCAAGGACAGCGGCCATCTCCATCTCTGTTGCACGGCGAGACCACCAGGATTCGCGGTCTCTCTTCAGGCTAGCACGGAGTTTTGCCCGGAGCTCTTTGCGAGTTTCATTGTGTTCACTTCCAGCCGGGATATGCCGGCGAGCGTCGATAAGTTCCAGAGACCGAGAAGAGACCCAATGTCCATGTTGGCTATTAGACATACCACATGAGGATTTGCCTGCTGCTAGTAAGGTCTGGCGAACATGTGACCAGTGACCATCAATTGTCTCCAGTGAGCGGTTACTCAACTCGCATGTCAGCGTACTTCGGTGCGCATTCAGAACAGCTGGCTTTGTCAGTTGGCTGGTGTCAATGCGCTCACATCGTCGTCGTGGGCGTCCGCCAAAACGCATCCGCATGTCAGCACATACAAGTGCATGATCGGTGTCCACACATGTGCTCCAAATCGAGCGACAGTTCTGGACGCAGCCTCTCCAGCGATAACTGATTGTGATGTGATCGATTTGCGTCCATTGCTGGTTCGAGGCTGGTGGGCGCCAAGTCACCCTCCGGCGGGTGCTGTGTCGGAAATTAGTGCTCGCAAGAAATAAGCGAGCATCTTCACAGATAGGAAGTAACCGCTCACCGTTATCATTACGGGAGCCTACACCTTGTTGACCGCCCAGATGCATTTCATCAATGCATAATTTCCAACTTGAGTGTTTAGATCCCCAGCCAGCACAACAGTGTCCGTGCTTCTTCTGTGGCGAAGGAGTTAGGTCAGTTGGCAGTAAAAGTCGTTCTTTACCGAATCATCGCTACAGTTTGTGGGCGCGTAGGCAGCGATGATGAATAGACATCTATTAGTCCCACGCGACCTTGAAGCTTTGAACGTGCCAGCCAATCGGACCGCACACATCCGACTACTGATTGGAATCCAATCAACCAGAGCAGCTTCAGCCCAGGGACTCAGGACAATGTCAACACCAGCTTGGCCGGTGCTCGAAGCTGCATCGTCACCGGATAGGCGCAATGAAAAAATACTGCTGGCGTCACCTGAAGGAGATCGCAGAGTGAGCACAGTGCTCGAGTCTCTGATAAGCAGCAGATATCGATCGAGAGGGTCTCTAATGTTCGGGCAAGTGCTGCCTGTTGACCGATTTGTAGCAGTGTGCGTACATTGAGGCATGCCAATCTGAAGGATGATCGAGGGCTCCAGATGGAAGCCGATGAACTGGAATGGACCGCTTGGTTGGACATGGGCTTGTCGACAGGATACTAATGACTCTGCGTTCACATGTGATTTGAAATTAGAAGGTAAATACCTAGCAACGCATGTTGGGGGAGGGCCGAGAATCGGGGTTGAAAACTGGGGGGATATAAGTGAAGTTGGAAGGGGACGGTAAGAGTGAAAAAGCGTAAGAGGGGGAATAAGAAGATAGGAAGGCTTGAGCAGTAGCATCCAAACCCCTATCCACCCTGCTCGTTGCAGCAGCTAGGGCACCGTTGATTATCCTCTGCGGTGGCCAAAGGATCAAGAAATTGTTTGAGGAAAGATTCATTGTACAGTGGTAGCACAAGGGCATCCTTCAGCTCAGGAGGCACCTCCTCCTCATTCCATACACCTTACAGCAAGCGGTGCAGCGCAGTCAACAACGCGAGTCCGCCCTGTTTCAATACTTCTGGCGGGATGCCGTCGGCTCCGGCACACTTGCTGTTTCGCAGCTGAGCAAGTGCTCTCTGCGTCTCACCCAGTGTCGGCGTGTCCGCCTGACTCGCCTTCACATCGTGCTGCTTCAGGCAGTTCAATGTAGGCCAGTCGATCTCTGAACAGTTGTTCAAGAGACAGTCAAAGTGTTTTCGCCAGATCTGCATTATGTCTGCAGTCTATGTGCAGGTAGCGCCTGAACTACCATCGATTAGCGTCCTCAGCGGCTCCAATCTCGGTCCATACACCGCCTTCAAAGAGTCAAAGAATTCCTTGTGTTGGTGGCGTTCGGCGTAGCATTCCATCTGCTTCGCCTTCTCCGTCCACCATGCATTTTTAATGCAACGTAACTCTCGGGTCAGTCGCCGTCGAACTTTGCGAAACTGACTACTCTTCCCCAAGTCACTGGGGTCTGCGACATGTGCAGCAAATGCTGCATTCTTCTCCGACACCAATGCGCCAATCGTCGCATTGTTGTCATCAAACCAATCAGGCCGCTTACAGTTTGTGCGCCCGATGGTCTCCTCGGCAGCAGCTGTCACCTGGTTGTGAATGTGGTGCCACAGATCACCCAATGTGGCTATGCCTTCCACATCACACAGGCGTGCAGCCATCGCCTTCTCCAGCTCATTACGTTTCGCGACAGTACCGAGGAAGAGAATGTTAAATTGACGCCGATTCACGGTGGGAGTGCAATACATAGATTTACGAAAATATATGTACAGTTTGGTCCGCACCAATTTGTGATCAGTGCCACACTCAGCTCCACGCAGTACACGTGTCATGCGCACTTCACGTGGATCGCGCTGACGTACGATGACATAGTCGAGCAGGTGAGCGTGACCACTCCGTGAGTGCGTCCAAGTTGCTATATCACTCGCACCTGTGAACCTCTGAACACTGAAGATAAATGGATCATTCAAAAACGCACAAGTTCACGCAACAACTTTCAGCCTCCCCCTAAAGTTAGACGACCGTCCAAAACGACAAGCCCCTCCACTCCTGTTGCCTCAAGTTCGTCACCGATCTCCCTGAGGCGTTATAATCTCATGGTGTTCCATGCACCAGAGTCGAAAGATGAAAACCCCCAGAAACGTTGTGATCACGATGTTGAGTTCCTTCAGGGGCTCGTTGATAAACTGTTGGATGTGGGTGAAGGCAGCTTAACGATTAAACAAGTAGTCCGACTTGGTCAACATACTAACCAATCATGTCGACCTTTAAGAATCACCTTTGATGACCACAACACGCCACAACTCATTCTGTCTCGTCTTTCCAGGCTTAAAGGCACCAAGGTTCACATCCGCCGAGACTTGGAACCCGAAGAGAGGAATCGCTTGAAGACTGCGTTCCTTGAGCTTAAACGCCGTACAGAAGAAGGCGAAACTGATCTGCACATCGTAAATTTTCGAGTGATCAAGAAGGGTGCACGAACCCGTATCAGTCGGTTGATCAACCTCTAGGCGCGTCCCGCGGTGCCTCTCAGGACCTCCGTGCTGCATTCACAAACATCTGTAGCCTCATGAACAAACGGGATGAGTTGTGTCGCTTCTTTGCCTCTGAGCGACCAGACGTCGTAGGACTGGCGGAGACATGGCTAACTTCTGAGGTAATGGCAGAGGAAGTCGATCTCAGTGGCTACTCATGCTTTCGCTGCGATAGAATATCAAATCCTCGTGGTGGTGTCTTACTTTATATACGGTCTTCCCTGCGTGGGAGGCTTGTAAGCGTGTACCGAAGTGGAGATGGACTGTGTGAACAGGTATGGTGCTCGATCAACCTCAGGCGCGGCAAGCTGACAGGAGGTGCATTCTACCGTAGCCCTCTGAACCGCTCTTTAGATTGGCTACCGCATCTTCGGAACAACATGAGTCGTCCATGTTTTCTACTCATGGGTAACTTCAATTGTCCCCACATTCAATGGCCTGAAATCCAACTCATGCCCGGGTATTCTGAAGTAGAATCAAAGTTTGTTGAGTTGTTGCTTGAAACTAGGGCATCGCAACACATATACCAACCTACGCGCATGACGGCGCGTTCGAACCCATCGTGCCTTGATTTGATGGTGACGAATTGCGAACAGCGGTTGCATGACATACGAATTCAGGAGCCCCTAGCTAAAAGCGACTATTCCGTGCTGATAGCCACTATGGAACTGAACTTGCCGAGTGTATCTCCGGTGGAACCAGCTTACAACTACTGGAAAACTGATTTCGATGGATTAAATCGAGCAGCGAGCCAAATGGATTGGTCTGTACCGCATGTTACATCTGTGGAGGACGGTTGGACAGTAATCAAGGAAGGATTGGCTTCGCTTTGTTCTCAGTTTTGTGCCGTTGAAATTTCAGAAAGTCGGACCAATCAAACCACACTGGTTTGACAAGGAATATGGTAGGCTGGCTTGGTTACGGCGAAGAATGTGGGACGCATTTCGCCTCTCTGGCTCCGCCACTGATTACGAAGCATATAAAAGACAGCGAAATATTTGCAACAAAGTGAAATTGATAAAGCGCCGGAAGTTCGAAGAAAAGCTTGCAACTGACATGAGGATGGCCCCAAAGAAGATCTTTGCTTACGTGAAACGCCGTTTGAAGCCAAAAGGTGACGTGTCATGTCTGGGAGACGCGGACGGACACCTGCTAACTTCCAGTTCCTATCGCGCGTCCGCACTAGCCGCTCACTTCGCTTCCGTGTTTGCAAACGACGCGGCGTCCATACCCATCTCAGCGAGTAACATTCCTGTAGAATTCAACAGTTTGGCTTGTAATGTCGACGAGGTGCACCTGCTACTTGCGAACCTTGACGGTACCAAGCCTGCAGGACCTGACGGGCTTCATCCGCTAATTATCAAATCACTAGCTGCCATTATCTCGCCTGCTGTTACGGATCTATTCAACAAATCATTGTCTGAGGGCTCATTGCCAAACGACTGGAAGCGCTCGGTGGTGAGGCCGATCCCGAAAGGTGGCAATCCAAGTAAGGTGAATCACTACAGGCCAATTTGTCTTACACCGGTTTTGGCCAAAGTGATCGAGAAGATAGTAAAAAGCGTCTATTACATCTGTTGCAATTGAAAGAACTTCTGACACCGGCACAACACGGGTTCAGGATGAGATATTCTTGTGTTACCAACTTACTTGTGACGAGACAGGAATGGTTGCAAGCACTGAACCGGGGAAAGTCCGTCGATGTAATCTACATCGACTTCAGCAAAGCATTCGACAAAGTTAATCATGAAGTGCTTCTAGACAGATTAAGGTCGTGTGGTGTCGGAGGATCGTTACCTCGATGGATCCATGAATTTCTCGTTGGAAGGAAGTGCAGGGTACAGGTGGACGGCCATCTAACCGATTGGTATCCCTCGACCAGTGGTGTACCTCAAGGTACGGTACTGGGACCCACTCTGTTTCTCATCCATATAAACGAGCTGCCCCAGCTTCTACGGTCGCCGTGTGCACTGTTTGCGGATGACCTCAAAATTTGGGGAGAAATTAATACTCTCGATGACTGTGACATTCTCCAACAAGACCTCGACCGCCTCGCAGTATGGTCTGCTGAAGTCCGCCTACCGGTCAACCCGGCAAAGTCCCTATTCATGAATCTCGGTGTTATAATCTTCTCACTAGACGCAACTCCAAAAATAACAATTCACTGCTCCGCAAAACTTCTAGCCCAACCGAAGGAAAAAAGCAGAACGCCAATGACCCTGACAAATAACGTATTAATCGCAGCCAACGAACACTGTACAACGACTGAGGACCCTGGCTGTATTTATAGGTCTCTGCTGACCTTCGAATTCTAGAATTGGAAGGTCAGCTGCCAAGGTTAGTGGTTCCCCATATCTTTTCCCGAGAGGTCAGGTGGATTTTGATCACGTGTAGAAGCAGAACATTCAGGAACGTTCGAAATCGATGCGATAATCGTTAATAATCGATTAATCGCTAAAATAGGGAATTTCCAAGGCAATTCTTACTTTCTCCCGGACACCTCCCCTCCTGAGATATGTTCCGAGGTGTAAGAGGAAAGCCTGGGATCAACTTGCAGTCTTCGGGACGGTGTTCTCTGCCTGTCGGTCCACCTCCTTATCAGAAGCGCCCGAGAGCCTTGTTCCGATGTTCTTGTTCTGGATTCGTTGCTCGACCTTGGGCAGTCGTCCACTGTTACCTTCGGCAGGTTGAAAGTTTCCACCAAGAAATCGAACGGAAGATCAGTAGGCCGGTCTTGTTCTGGCTGGCACAATGTGGGACGTAACTGGTTTGCATGCCGCGGCCAGACCTGTGCGCCCACCTTCACGTCATACATGACGTTTCCGCGCTTGCTTTTGACCGTCCCTGGCCTCCACTTCGCATGGCCTTCCCGGTAGTCACGTACTAGCACCTTCTGTCCAAGCGTGTGTGGTGGCAGCACCACGTAAGCAATGTGGAAGTTAGACAGCGTGTCTTGGGACGTGGAAGCCACTCGCTCGAGGAGCTCATCTCACTGCATCAACTGCGGTGGTTGGGACACGTATTGCGCATGCCTGTCCAGCGTTACCCCCGTCGTGCGTTGTTTGCACTTGCTGGACAGGGCTGGAAGAGACGGTCTGGTGGACAGCCTACAACATGGAGAAGCCGCATGAAAAAGTTGACGAAACAATTGGCCTCGGCCGGTTGTTGTCGACTACCTGGTTGGGGTCCGAGAGACGAGGATACTTGCTGGTTGAAAACCTTGGAAGTTATGGCTCAAGATCGATGTCAATGGCGGACGTGTGCATCAGTGTGTTGCGGTGTCCCTTCCTCCTCCCCCTAAAAACGAACAAACTGAAAAAAAAATTTCAAAAACTGTGAGTGGTAAACTTGACAAAAAAAAGCATTTCTTGTTGCTCTTTTCTTATTATTCATATTGTTTTTCTGTCCAAGCGTGAATGATCGCTTCTTTGCTCCATGCCGCCGGTTAAACTCCTGTTCCATTCTGCGGTTTCTTTCACCAACAGCAGACTCCGAGCCCGGTCGGATGGCGTCGAAAGGCATGCGGAGCTTCCGGTTCATCATAACCTGTGCTGGAGAGACTCCGTCTGGTGCTTGTGGATTCGGTGTTGATCGGTAGAGGAAAAGGAACCGGTCAACCACCTCCTCTATACGTCCCTCCCCTTTTGATTTTTGGAGGGCTCGCTTGAATGTGTCGACAAATCTTTCTGCCTGGCCATTCGACTGTGGGTGAAACGGCGGCGAGCGAACGTGCTGGACGGCGCATTGCTTGCAAAACTCCTTAAACGCTGCTGAAGTAAACTGTGAGCCATTGTCAGTGACCATTGTTTCAGGACAGCCGAATCTGCTAAAGACTTGGCGCAGTTTCGATATGGTGGCATTGGTGGTGGTGTTATCCATGAGAAATACTTCTGGCCACTTGCTGTATGAGTCGACTATAATGAGGAAACTTCTCCCGTTGATCGGCCCTGCAAAGTCGACATGAATGCGGCACCACGGCTTAGTAGCTATTGGCCATGAACAGAGTTCTGCTTTCGGTGGTGCTTTCAAGACATCGGCACACTTTTGGCAGCGTCTGGCTATTTCTTCCAACTGTTTGTCCATTAAGGGCCAGTATACAAAACTGCGGGCAAGCGCCTTCATCCGGTTGATTCCAGGATGCCCGGCGTGGAACTGTCGAAGAATGCGCTCCTGAAGTGTCTTGGGGATGACCACTCTTTCCGAAAATAGTATGCAATCGTTTACAATAGCGAGTGAGTGTCTCCTCTGAAAATACTGTTGCAACTCGGCGGATGGACAGGAACGTGGCCAACTTGTTTTGTGGAACTGAGTAACCTTCTTGAGTATTGGGTCCCGAAGTGTTTCGGTCCGCACAGCTTCTGCGGTAACTGGTAGACAGTGCAGTGCATCAGTTACCAGAAAGTTGACGTCTGGTTCAATCTCCACCGAGGCAATGATTGTGTCTTCATGTTCTTGCTGACGGGTATCAATTAGGCGTGACAGTGCATCTGCTTGGCCAATGGAAACTGTCGACTGATATTGGATCTCGAAATCATACCCCATTAAGGTAAGAGCCCAACGTTGTAGCCTGTTGGCTGTGTAGGCCGGGATGCCCTTTTTCGAACCAAAGATAGCGAGCAAGGGTTTGTGATCTGTCAGAAGCTTGAAGCGGCGGCCGTATAGCATTTTGTGGAATTTCTTAACCGCGTACACTATGGCCAATGCTTCTTTCTCAATCTGACTGTAGTTCTTCTCGGCCTTGGTAAGGGTTCTGGCGGCATGGGCGATTGCTTTTTGAGATCCATCGGTGTACGTGTGCGCAATTACTGCACCAATCCCATGGCTTGATGCATCTGTGGTTAGGACGATCTCTTTGGAGGGATCGAAATGGGTCAAAAGCAAGTTTGAAGACAACAGTGACTTGACGCGTTCGAAGGCATTCTGACATTCTGCTGTCCAGTTCCAAGGTTGTCCTTTGGATAGTAGCTTGTTTAACGGGGCACGCAAGCGGTGCATCTCAGGCAAAAATGCGCTGTAGTGGCTGATGAGCCCACAAAAGGAACGCAGAGACTGTAGATCTGTGGGTGGAGGCATTTTTCTAATGGCTTCGATGTTTTCCGGGTCTGGTCGACGTCCATCCTTTTCGAGGATAAACCCGAGGTATTTGATGAGCGGCGTGAAAAATGTGCATTTATCCTCACGGATCCGGAAGCCGTACGACTGTATGCAACATAGCACTTCATCCAAGCGGTTGAAGAGTTCTTCCGGTGTTCGACCCATCACTATGATATCGTCCAGATATGCAGCGGTTCCAGAAACTCCCGCTAGCATAGTGTCCATCAACTGTTGGAAGATGGCTGGCGCCGTTTTCACACCAAATGGCAAGCGGTTGTATTGGAATAGCCCACGATGAGTGTTGATCGTTAACAACTCCCTCGAGACTTCGTCAACATCCACTTGCAGGTAAGCATCGGATAGATCAAGCTTTGCAAAGTACTTACCACCATTCAGCTTTGCAAAGATATCCTCCGGTACAGGTAAGGGATACTGATGGTCGTCCAGCGCGGCGTTGAGGCCAGTTGAAAAATCAGCACAGACGCGTACCTTGCCATTTGCTTTCTTCACTGCGACAATAGGTGCGGCCCATGATGAGTAGTTGAAGGCTGTGATGACTCCGGCACGTTCCAGTCGATCGAGCTCTTGCTCAACGGTTGACATGGCTGCATATGGTACCGGTCTTTTGGCCTTGAACACTGGTTTAGCACCTGGTCGCAAGTTCAGTGTTGCCTTGAATTTCGTACAGTGACCCAAGCCATCCTGAAAGACAGAAGCAAATTTTCTCTTCAGGGTACGTGTCATGTCTTCAATGGACTTTGCAGATGGGTCTGGACTTGCTCGAACTCGGTTGCAGATCTGATTCAAGGGAACATCGAGGAGGTTCAACTTTTCAATCCAGTCGAGGCCAAGAAGATTCAAATTCGGCCGGTCCGAAATGTAGCATGTTCCCGACTTCTCCACACCTTGGAAAGCAATCTTGCAATTGAGTTCGCCGACTAAGCGTAACACACCGCCGGATGCATTATGTGCAACTTCCTGGGAGTCGACCATCTTCGGCCTCTTTAGGTGATTCCATATGCGCCTGGAAATGATGGTAATGTCTGAGGCCGTGTCAATTTGCAGTTTCGTTGGGATACCATTGATTAATACAGTGATGAATCGTCGTCTCGGTTTGCACTCGCTTTGGAATGCGGCGACTATGGAGAGAGATTCAGCGCCGCCCCTTCTAGAATTAACCCTTCGGTGAGACTTCTGCACTTTCTTCGACCGGACTTGACTGCAGCATTCCTCCTTATGCCCACGCTTATGGCACGTTTGACAAATATGTTGTTTGAAGGGACAAAAGCGAGCGAAATGCCATTCGCCGCATGACCAGCATGCTGTGGGCGGTTTCTTCGTAGGCCTCTTGAAGGATTTGCTTGCTTTGGCGGTCATGGTCTTTTTCACGAGTTGCACGGTATTTGGTGATGCTAGACCATTGCGTTCGACCATGGCAGTGTCGTGTTTTAGAGTGAGAAGTCGCTTGCATTCGCTTACGAGAGCCTTCAGTG